CGTACCATGATTGCAGGTGATCATGGCCCCAGTTGGGTGCTTGAGGGAGCAACCAATCATGTGTCTCTCTCACATCGATGTTTCTCTCTGTGTGCCTCTTCCTGTCCCTTCCACTCTCTCTGAAATTCAATGGACAGAAAAAAAACACAACAGGGTAAGGAGTAACAAAAAATAAAAACGAAAGAAACAAGATTTTTCTGAATCCATGTGTCTGTGAATTCTACAAATGGCGAATCAACTTTCACCGAACACACTTTTCCAAAACTGTTCTGAATCCAGAGATTGATTGGCTGTACCATTTGGTTTCTCCCAGGATTGAGTCCTTCCTCATAGACCTTGGCTTGAAGTCATGTGCCTGCCACTAGAGGGCAGGAGAGCACTAGGCAGCTCAATCCCTAGCTCAGAACTCAGGTTTACTTTTTTTTTCTTCTTCCAATGTTAATTTACTTTTTCAATTCAATTGACTCCATTATCATATAAACATATTTCTTAAGCCTGTGCCTGTGTGCCAAGTCCTGTGCTAGGAGATTGGAAAGATACTGTCCCAGCCTCCAGGAGTTCACAGTCAAGAAACAAATACCTCTACTCACGACACAATATTCATCCATCCTTTCACTTGCTCATTCTCTGAGCACACTGTTGAATGTTCCATGTTCCCTTGCACTGTCCAGGGCACGGGATGGTGAGGTATTCTTAAGTAAAACACTAATGCTGCTTTGGGGGTCCTGGGAGGAAGGGGTACCGCTAGCAGGGGGGGGTGAGGATGGCATGTCATGGGGATCAGACATGAACATGTGGCAGGCCGAGGTGCAGGTAGGGCATTCTCTGTGATATCAACAGCATGAGCTGAGCTAGGAAGTGGAGCTGGACAGGTAAGAGGTGAGTGAGGCAACAACCCATGGAGGGCTTTGATGCCAGCTGAGGCATTAGACATGTCCTACCTGTGATTGGGGGCCTAGAAGGGGCTGAGCTGGGTGTTGCTTCAGTGAAGTGTTAGGGGAGTCAAGGAGACAGAAAAGTCCAGGTGAGGAGACTAATGGATGTCAAGGAGGGACATTTCTGAAGTAGAATAGGAAGGCTACAGAAGCTGGTTGACTGAGGGGATGAGAGAGAAGCAGGAGTCTAGAACATTCATTGGGAGGCAGGTGGAGCAATTGATTGTCCCAGAAAACTTCCTTGTTGCATTTCTGATTTCCACCAGCAATCCCATCTCTCCTTCTCTTTGAGCATCAAAGTCCCAGGCATCCTCCTAGATGGTGAAGACCTGAGTGTGTTGCCTACCCCACTCCATGTCATGCCCTGACCTGGCCACCACATTGTGAAACCAGAAGTTGCTTGTGGAAGGAGTAAACAAACTAGTAATTAACTTTGTAGTGATTTCCTTGACTTGATTCAATGACTTAGGGCATTGAATTTCTCTAACAGGATTTCATGGCTGCTGAGAACAGAAGTAGGAGTTAGGAGCTACTTCTGGAAGAGAGATAGGCTTTGTCACAGTTCAGGGGCAGAATATGAAGCAAGGCTTGACGGGTAGAAGTGTGCGTGACCTAAAAGGAAGGGGATTGGATTGACTCACATCAGAATGCCCTGTTCCAGGCATGGGCTCAGTGACAGATGCCTGCCTAGCTGAAAACAGGATTTGATACCATTTCTCATGTTGTTTTCCTCATTCTCATCTTGGCCCAGGAACTGCATTGGGAAGCATTTCGCCATGAAGGAGCTGAAGGTGGCTGTGGCCTTGACCCTGCTTCGCTTTGAGCTGGCGGCAGATCCTCTCCGAGTCCCTATCCCCATATCAAAAATTGTGTTGGATTCCAAGAATGGGATCCACCTGAAGCTCAGAAAGCTCCTCTAGTCCTTGTTGGGACAAGGGCAAGCTCTGAGGAACCCCTTCCTGCCCTTCCCTGTCTATCTCCCCAATTCCTGCTTTCCAACTGCCCACCTGCCCTTCCACCTGATGTCCTCCTTCCCATCCTCTGCCTGTCTGCCCCTTTCTCTGTACTTTTCACTTTCTGCCTGCTTGTGCTTCTCTGGATTCATCTCCTTTGGCTGCTATAATAATTTACCAGAGCCTCAGTGACTTAGAACACCACAAATTTCTTCTCTTAGGGTTCTGGAGTCAGAAGTCTGACATGGGTTTCACTGGACCACAACCCAGGTGTGGGCAAGGCCACCCAACTTCCAGGGCTCTAGGAGAGATTCCCTGTCTTTGTCTTTCCAGAATCTAGAACTGCATTTTTATATCTTTGGCTCCTGGAGTCATCCTGCATATTCAAATCCAGCAGCATTTTCAAATATCTTTCTGCTTCTATCTTCACATTGCCTTCTCTTTTATGAGGACATCTATGATTATATGGGCCACACAGATAAAACAGGACATAGTCACACCTGGCAGGAAATAGGCTGTGGACATCTTGGGAGCCATTCTTGAGCTTAATTGGTCCCCATGTGACTACCATCAGTCTGCGTTCTGGTGGCCTTCTGTGTGTCTCCTACCCATTTGTCATCTCCACACCCTCTCCTTTTTCCTTCCTCCTTGGAATAAAGTTTACAACATCATGTGATGTGTCTGTCTTTTCTTTATCTCCTTTGTCTTCCCTTTCCTGCCACATTTGGTGACTCTGTGCTTGATGGTCCCCCTGACCCTGGGCTCTGTTCCCTTACTACTCCACCAGCCTCTCTCAACCCAGGCCTGTTCTCTTGCTGATTCTGAACATAGGTCCCCTTCCTGTCCCATCCTATGTCATTCCTAGGTCAGGGTCCTGAATGCCATAGGCACACCTCCTGTTGTGATGAGATGCATTCATTTGCCTCCCGATACTGGGGAAGGATTTCTGATTCCTCGTGTGGCCCCAGCCTGAGGTTCTACCCCAAATTCCTTCTCTGCATCTCATACCTGGCTCAAGGCCTAATTCAGGCACCAACTTTCCAGAAAGCTTCCGTCTGTCATCCTACTACCTCCCCCAGCCAAAGCCCATACACCCAGAGCATGGGGTGACTGTGACACAGACATTTACAATGGCATGAGTGTCACAGATACCCATTTCAAGAGGTCATAAAACATACCTGTGAAATCATACTCCATATTCCTTGACCTTGGCAGTGGTTTCCTGGGTGCTTGCTTTAGAAATGTATTGCTCTATACATTTTTTTGCTTTTGGCAAATTCTCCATATGCTATTTTCCAAAAACACATACATATAGTTAAACAAAGACAGCCATCTCAGTTA